CGATCTTGGCTCACTGCAACCTCCACCTCCCAGGTTCAAGCAATTCTCCTGCCTCAGCCTCCCGAGTAGCTGGGATTACAGGCATGCGCCACCACACCCTGCTAATTTTGTATTTTTAGTAGAAACGGGGTTTGTCCATGTTGATTAGGTTGGTCTCGAACTCCCAACCTCAGGTGATCCGCCCGCCTCAGCCTCCCAAAATGCTGGGATTACAGCCGTGAGCCACCGCACCCGGCTGTACTTTGTAAAATAGGCATACCTCCTTACAAAGAATATGTTCAGAATCTTTACATAGCGGATCTATTTACTGTGTCCTTGAAAGCTTTCTTTAAATGATTTATAAAATAACAGTTTCCTTAAGTTACAGATGGCCTCTCTCATCTCTCCGTGTGTTGTTTACAAGCGTGCTTCAGTGATTATGGGGGCAGGAAATGGCCTCCCGGGAGGATCGCAGATCCTAGTACCGAAACACCCCCAGAGCAGAGAAGCTCTCCCTGCATTATCCAACACAGGTACCTTAAAGTTCTTATAAACGGTGACTTTCTGCAGCGTTTAGATAAAACCAGGCTAGAAGCAGAGGACCACCTCCTAAAGAGCAGTTTCTCTTCATATGATACTTAGCATAGCTCATAATAGGAGGAGGAACAAAGTAGCAAGTTAAGGATAAAGCTCTTTTATTGTATGCATTGAAACCTTACGGGGGCAGCTTTGTGTCCTGTGGAATCTGCTGTCCCTCTGGGGTTCCCTTCTAGGGCACTGGAATGTTAAACTGGGGTATTAGGTGCCTCTGGGGTCCAGAATCTTGCCAATGAAGAGAAGGGCCCCTGTGTCCGTGTCCCTCAGGACGAAGATGAAAGGCTGGTTAAGGTGATAGTCCAGCAGGAAGGTGAGGTGGGCAGGCTGCAGCCCCGGGCTGGGGGTGGCTCCCGCCCCGTCCTCGTTCCACTCGAAGCCGGCCCGGTGTTCCACTTGAGTCAGCTTGATGGGTTTGCCTGTGATCTTGCTAAAGTCTGGTGAATCAAACAAGGACTGCAGCTCTGTAGAGATGGAGAGAGATTTCCGTTAAAACCCTGCCTTCCCCGACACCCCGACCAAGGGATCCAGTTGCAAGCAAGCTGGCATGGCGCGCCACTGCTGACTTTCTGGGAGGCCTCAAGAGCTCCGAGCTGGCCGAGGGTGGAGCGACTTGCCCAGGAGCACTTAGCAAGTTAGGTCAAGATGAGAAAACAGGTCAGACAGACTCGTCTTGAGAGGCAGTGTCGTGAGCGCCTGTGAAGGAGGTCTGCTCGTGAGGCTGAGGAATGAGTCTGATGAGAGAAGGCAGTTCGGCCTTCCCTTCCGGCAGGACGAGGATTAAGGAATCATGTACGGCCCCTGCGAGGCCGTGGAGCCCTGAGTTCTGCTCAGCAAAGTGGAAGGCCCGAAGACCCCGGCCCGCCCCACCCACCAAAAGCAAAAGGGTCTCCAGACATACTCATCTCCTGCAGGGACTTGGTGACTTCGCCTTCGTAACTCAGCTTC